TGTTCTCCAGGATAATGTGCAGATTTTAAGCTTCTAAATTCATTAAATGCAATGCTGAGGAGACAATTATATTTTTTTAATTGAAGATGACTGGAGGAAAATAATAGCATCTTAAGTACTATTCAAGTTTAATAAATCCTAGCACAAGCTATATGTAATAACCAATTGTAAAAGAGGAAGTTCATTTAATGAACTGGCATTTCATTCATGCAAACAGTTAGCATGAGTAAATCTGAAACTTAAATATGTGATGTCAGCATGTCTATGTATTCAACACAGTGAGCACTACATCATACCTATTATAGTTAGTTTTTCCAGAGATAATTAAAAATAAACATATTTCTGTTGGAAAACAATTTGAATACAACACTTATGATTCTTATACATTTCATCAGACACAGTGTATGTATGTGGTTTGGGTATGTTTTTGTCACACTTAGATCACTATATTTATGAGTTAAATGAATTGAGCTTTGATTGAATAACAGAAAGATAAGAGCATGTGTTATATTGACTATGAAAGGCATTTGACTGTGTGGACCAAAATAAACAGGATAAAATTGAGAAGAATGAGGATTCCAGAACACTTCATTGTGCTTACTCAGAAGTTGAACCTGCCTCAAGAGGCAGTAGTGAAAATAGAACATGGGGATGCTGCATGATTTAAAATCCAGAAAGGTGTGCATCAGATTTTCATCCTCTCACCATATTTGTTCAACCTCTATGATGAGAAAATCATCAGAGAAGCTGGATTATATGAAGAAAAATGTGGCATCAGAATTGGAGAAAGCTTACCAGCAACCTACTGTATACAGATAATACAACCTTGCTTGCTGAACGTGAGGAGGACTTGAAGGGCTTGCTGAGGAAGATCAAGGGTTTCAGCCTTCAGAATGGATTACAACTCAATGTAAGGAAGACCCAAATCCTCCCAACTGAACCAATGGGTAACATCAAGGAAATGGAGAAAAATGTAAAGTTGTCAAGGACTTAGTCTTGCCAGGCAAAGAAAAGTTTGTGATGATGGCACAGTGCCATACAGTCCTTGGTTCTGTTGTGCACAGGGTCTCTATGGGTGGGTCCAGCTCCATGCCACCAGACAACAACACAATTTTGAGCAAGACAATCATCATGCCCTACAATATGGGAAATCTTGGAAAGCACATCATTGAAAGGTAGATAGAGACTGTTTATCTATTTTTGTCATTGGTCTAACAGTTAAGCTTTAGCTCCTTGGCATAAAACATAAATAGACTGTATCACATAATTTCAAAGACTCAAGTTTTAAGATAGTATCAAAATGGGGGAAAATAATCTGAGCATATGCATACATCATTCCCCCACTCTTGGAATGATTTTTTATTTAGATTATTTTCCCCAAACAAAAGTTCACCCTGAATGTTTTTAAAAGCAAAGAACAGTGAGAATTCATATTATGTGTTTTGGACATGTCTTTAGGAAGGACTAATCCCTGAAAATGAATATTGTAAAGTTCCATGAGGTGAAAGATTACGATTTGTATAGTCGAGAGTGAGGAGACAGGAGGAACATCTTTACTGAGGTTTTATATACACTGGCTGCAAAGATGGACTCAAATACACTCTTGCGAGGCTGGCATTGGACGATGTCTCATTCTTTTACACATGGGGGGCCAGGAGTTGGTACTGTCTCAAAGGACCCTTTCAACAACAATTTGATGCATAAATTATTGATCAGAAAAACACAACACTAAGCATATATAGTAGATTCTACAACAGCTACAACATGCATAAAGTACCAACTGGTCTGAGATTAAAAAGTCAGTACTAAAATGTAGTAGGATTCCTAATGGAGATTGGTAGTAATAGTCCTGTTAAAGATGGATAATTTAAGCAGAAGTTTAAGGCAGTGACATAAGATTGTAGCTCTCTGACAGATTTCACTGTAGTATGTATAGTATACTGTTGTTGATTGAATTGTCTCTCCAAAATATATGCTAATTTGGCTGTGCTATGGTGTTCAGTGGATTAGTAGTTACAGGATTATGTAATCTTACATAATTACTTAATGATGAATTCATCCACAACATACAATCTTATGGGGTCAGCAAAACCATTATAAGGGGATTAAGGATTTTATACCACTGCAGTAATATAATGACGATGTCAAGGAGTACAGGAAGAAAAAGTGTGCTTAAAAATGGATTGTGGAAGCAATGGTACAATTCAGCTTGATGTGAACTATAGAATGATATGACATATTAACTCCCAAGTAATAATAAATCAAAAGAGAATTTAAAAAACATAGATCGAGGATGAGTTTGGGGCTCACACTAAATCCTATTTCCAACTTAAAAACAATTAGTTCTTAAATTGTAGCCCTGCTCAAAACTTACCCTCATAATGAGAATACAGAAGATATGGTTGCAAAAGCAAAATTTGGTGAAGGAATTAGCAGGTGGCCGGCTATCAGATACAATAGCATTTGTGGACTGCAAAGCTTATCTCATGACAGGCGGCCATCTAAGGGAGATGTCAACTAAGTCCACATGGAAGAAGCATACCATCATTATCAACTGAAGGATTGTAAAATATATAATTCAAAATCGAAGTTGAGATTAATATCAGGGCCTAAATTTTGAGAATACAATTTGCAGAAGGCTATGAGTTGGAGCCCAAGATTCATTTCTGGGAACTACATAGGAAACAAGCCTCAGGAAACATAGTTTTATAAACCAAATATGTGACAAAAGATTAAAATTAACAAAGTTTTTTCAAACCTAACTTATAAGAACAGCTATCAATTTATTTGGAAAAATCATAAGCGTGTAGTTCATCAAAGTGGATATGCAGATGATACATAAACACAAGACAAGATATTCAACATTAATAGCTGTCATGGGAATAAAAGAAAACCACAATGCTATGAGACTATACACCTCTAAGAATAACAGAAATAAAAATCTTGAAAATACTAGTATGACAAACATCATATTATTCTGAGTTCCATATCTATTCATGAATAAGTGCTACCTGAAAATTCACAAGAATATTTTTAATTATTAAGCCAATTAAATCGACTTACTATAGAAACTTCTAACTTTCTCAGAATAGAAGATTGCAATTACCTAATCTAGATCAGTTTCCTTTTCTTGCTTGTGTCATATTCTCTAGAAAAATATATTCAGACAATTTATTTACATATAATAATAAATGGCACATATATGGCCTTTTTAAACAATATTCTGATGAAAGAAAAGAAAATTAATGAAAGCAATGCAAATTATTTCTTCTTTAAAATATTCTTTATAAGCAACAAAGCTCTTTGTTGGTTAGTTCATATGTCTTTAAAGACCCAAAAGTTATACCTTCATTTATCATACTTCTCAAAATTTTTAAGTATGAAACCTAATTTTCTAAAATTTATAACCTATTGCTAACTAAATTGCACATATGTTCTATAAAGGAAACATCAAATTTGAATACACTAATGAGGAAGCAGGAGCTACTAAAGAATGCTGTGATATATTAAAAGGTAATCAAGCACAAATGTGTAAAACGATGTATAATTTAAAGTAATGTATCGCTTATTATTTTATTATATTTCTAGCACTAAACTTCAGTAAATATAATTTTCCCTATAAAATAACTCCTATTCTATGGTATTATGAACCATTGTAATATAAAATGTCAACTAGTTTGCCAAATCTCAGAATACCCCATTAAAAAAAAGTTTTTAAATTCTAAAAAATGATAACTCTCCATATATAAGCAATAGAAAAGAGTGATATGAATGTTGCCTATAATTCTCTAAAATACCCATTTGAGAAATAAAAGCATCATTTGTATAGTAGGAAAAAATGATGAGTCCTTTAAAATTAACTATTACATATGTAGACACTAAAGCACACAAGGAGCCCTGGCAGCCTAGTGGGCTCGGAGAGGGGCTGTCAAATACCAGATCACCAGTTTAAACTCCCCAGCTTCACTCCGTGGGATAAAGGTATATAACCTTGGAACACACAGGGGCAATTCTGAGTTGTCCACAGGTTCACTGTAAGTCAGAGTTGAGTGAAAAACAATGAGTTTGTCTTTAGAAATGTCAAGGCACACAACAAAAACAAATGGGTATGTGGTGCAATTTTAATCATGAAATGAAATCTGATAAAAGGAGCACTATAATTTTATTACGTAGAACAACAGCATATAGATACCAAAGCATGTACACAGACACAAGCTCACATAACCACACAACCTACTGCATGTCTAGCATTGTGGGTGAAGGAGGAATATGAAATAATCTGGAATAGCTTCATTAAATCTTTGTTCAAAGTTAAGTCACTATGAAAGTTATTCAAATGTCTCAGTCGTTTTGAAGAAGAGAGGAAATTTTGAGGCCAAATTCACAAGAGCAATGTGCTTGAAAATTTACTTCAATAAACTTAAAATACCTGAAAAAATACATACTTTGAAAACAAGAGTGGCAAGAATAGAGCCAACTGAGCATGATGGAGAAGAAATAATATTATAATGCTGATGCTCATTCTTGTTTATATTACAAAAGGACACTCTTTACAATTAGCAACTGTGTCATTATGTCCTGTAATATACATGGAGGCCTGGTAGTGCAGGGAATTACACAGTAAGTTGCTAACTGCAAGATCAGCCATTGGAACACATCAGTTGTACTATGGGAGAAAGATGGGGCACTCTGCCTCTTGAAAGATGGAATACGGGTTCTGGAAAACCCAAAGAGGAGTGTTGCACTGTCCCTTAGGATCTCTATGAGTGATCAACTCTGCAGTACTAATTTTGTTTTGTTTTAATTTTGTAGGTAAGCAAATGCTTGCATAAAGCAATGACTCCCAAAAAAAATTTATTTGTTTGAAAAGTGAGAAGAAAAGTATATTCCTACCCCGCTTGTGGAGAAGTAAAAACAGTGGGTATTTGTTCATCCCCTAACACCTCTGGTTCAAATCATTCTATTAAAATTCATCACGAAAGACTAACTGCCAGGCAGAGATGGCGACTGCGGCTTGGCATCTGGGCAGCTCGGTCGCAAAGTGGGGACTCAGGCCCCTGGTGGTTCCGGTCGTGGGGCTTGTTTCCCAGCGGGCCCTCTCGGTGCTGCCGGTCAATGATGAGATCAAGGGGCTAAATGAGGAACAGAAGCAGCTTTGCCAAAACATGGCTAAGTTCCTTCAGGAGTATTTGGCCCCCAAAGCCCAGGAGATTGATCAGAACAATGAGTTCAAGAACCTTCGAGAGTTTTGGAAGCAGCTGGGGAACCTGGGTGTCTTGGGCATCACAGCCCCTGCTCAGTACGGGGGCTCTGGGCTGGGGTACCTGGAGCATGTGCTGGTGATGGAAGAGAGATTCCGAGCATTGGCAGCAGTGGGGCTCAGCTACGGTGCCCACTCCAACCTCTGCATCAACCAACTCGTGTGCAATGGGAATGAAGCCCAGAAGGAAAAGTACCTCCCTAAGCTGATCAGCGGGGAGTACATTGGTGCACTGGTCAGGAGTGAGCCCGATGCAGGTTCCAACGTCGTCTCCGTGAAGCTAAAAGCGGAAACGAAAGGGGATCATTACATCTTGAGTGGCGACAAGTTCTGGATCACCAATGGCCCCGACGCAGACGTCCAGATCGTGTACGCCAAGACAGATCCAGCTGCCGTGCCAGCTTCCCGCAGTATCACCGCCTTCATCGTGGAGAAGGGCATGCCTGGCTTCAGCACCTCCCAGAAGCTGGACAAGCTGGGGATGTGGGGCTTTAACACCTGTGATCTGGTCTTTGAGGGCTGTAAGATTCCTGCACTCAACATTCAGGGCCACCTGAGTAAGGGTGTGTACTTGCTGATGAGCGGGCTGGACCTGGAGCGGCTGGTGCTGTCCCGTGGGCCCACTGGGATCATGCAGGCCGTCCTCGACCACACCATCCCCTACCTTCACATGAGGGAAGACTTTGGCCAGAAGATCGTCCACTTCCAGTTGATGCAGAGGAAGATGGCTGACATGTACATCTGGCTCATGGCCTGTCGGCAGCATGTCTACAATGTCGCAAAGGCCTG